CTACAAAGAGGACTTCGGGTAGAACTTTTAACTGGCAACTGATTCTACTAAGTAATCTGTTAAATGCCTGTTACACATATAACCACCTTCCAGCAGAAAATGCAACATCTGCCTTTTCACTCTGAACAGTATGTTAAATTCCTCATCAAAAAGGGCGACTTCCGTTTTTACACAAAAAACTCAAGGACCATGGAACCACACTCTAACAAAATACTAATTATACACTTCCAGAAAAAACAAGACCCCATGTATTAGGAGCTGTTTCTTGGAGACTTCAATCAAATTTAAGTTTAAAGGTTTCATTATTTTACATCTATTAATTTAGGCAAAATTGTATTAACAGATTGACTACAAAATATCTTTTATTCTGAACTTGTGAAGGGGCAAATATGACTCTGGCAAATTTGATTAACAGCACAAAATGTTATCCAAATTGAATAATTTATTGCTGGTCTGAGGCTTGCCTTCTTCTACACTTTAAGTAGAATTTACACTGTTCCACAAATAGTAATTAGTATTTAAAGGAATTTAGTAGTGACCTGTTCAATAAGGCAAATCATCTTGGTAGCAAACTTTTATTTAAATCTTACATAACTCAAGCTTTATAAAAAGCCAACATAATTGAAAATTGGGTTCTCCCTCTAAAGCCTCAAGAAACGGTTAATTTAAAAGTAAGCAAACAAAACAAAACCCCTGCAGCAAATCCTGCTGAAATACTTAAAAAAAAATCTAAACGAGCTTAATCTTTACAAAAGTTATTTTAGCTCAAAAGCTATAAAATCAAAGTTATCTTAATTCTACAAAGAAGGGAGAGGGTCTTTGACTTTATGCCACCATTTCCTTAGAACCTCATTTTTTCATCAAATTTGGCCACAAATCAAATTTCTGTGTGCCCCTGTTTTCAGTAGATTCCTCTTGCAGAAGAGGCCAAGTACAAACATGGAAGAATAACTGCCTAAGCAAGTAGGAAAGTGTTCTGTAATAGTGTGCAAAGAACACAGAGTTCTGGGTTAATCCCTGGAACTTGATCTGGACCGTGACCTTGACTTTGAACGAGATCTAGAACGGGATCTTGAAGCTCTTTTTGGTGGAGGGGATACAGAACGAGCCTTTGAGGGTGGAGCAGGTACAGGTGACTTGGAATGAGACTGGCTCCTTGATCTAGATTTTGACTTTATATCACCTTTCCCATTTTCTTTGGGGGAACGAGATCGAGAACGAGACCTGCTTCGAGATTTCTCATATGCATCCTTAGATCTGCTTCGAGAGCGCGAGCGGGAGCCCCGATCAGACTTGGGCTTGGATTTGCTTTTTGATCTAGATTTCCTGCCTTTTGATCGAGAACGTGATCGACCTTTGCTCCGAGACCTGGATCTGGACAAGAAAAGCCAGATTTGTTTTTTTTTAGTATCTTGTCAGAACACCTAAGTACAGTAACATTCAGAAAAAGACCCAACAGTTCATTATTTACCGGGAGCGACTTTTAGAGACACTTCGAGATCTACTGCGGCTGCTCCTGCGACTCCTACTTCGGGACCTTCTTCTAGATCGCGACCTTTTAATACAAGAAACACAATAAAACTTTAATCTCAATACATCTTAACATGAATGTCTGTACTACTTACAAAAAAACAAACAAACAAAAAACAACCAACAAAGAATGGTTACTTACTACAAACTAAACGCACTATCAAAACATCCAAAAGAACACAATGATGTTCCCTCCAAAAGAAACTACAAACTGAACTACTTCAATTAAGCATTGACTGAAATACTGCAGTTTTTAGTTTCTTTTGTTCTTTACAATTATTTTGTTCCTTCCCTCTCCATAACTTTCAACAAGTTACCTTGATCTGCTTCCAGAGTAAGACCGCCTATGGCTTGTTCGTGGTTTATCTTCAATGAGCCTAATATTTCTGCCATTGATTTCTGTACCATCCAGTTTATCCAAAGCACGCTTCATGTCAGAGTAGGAGCGAAATTCAATCACACCTTCGTTTGTGCGCTCTTTGTGAGCATCCGCATAGGTTACTTCACCTGCTTGTCTCATGAAATCCTGAGAGCAAAAGACTAGTCAGACACGTGTATCCAGATTCCCCTCATATTGTACTTGATTCTCAGAAGCAATGCAACAAGAGCCGAACTTTAAAAAACATTATTTTTATCTCAAATTGTAGCACATACCTTTAAATCTTGCCAACTACAACGACTAGAAAGATTTTCTACAATAAGCCTGAACTCTGTACGAACAGGTGGTCCATATTTGTCTCTGCCAGAGGTTCTCCGACTGCTGTATCCACCTCCACCACCTTTATCACATGAAGAGAACAGTTAGATGCTTTGTAATGACAGGGATGCATAATGTTTTTGAAAGTTAGTACAAACATATTAACTTTTATTTACTGGAGTAGGACTTTGCTATTATACTGCTAAACCTTCGATACAGTTGTGATTTGCCATAAATTAAATTAAGGGCAAGTCAAACAGACTAAATCCAACTAAACTTCTCCTACAATCTGTTAGAGAGTGACTGCTCCTTTATTCAATTTACCTCGCTAAGTTTTATTTTACAGAACATTGTAAAATATAAAACTTAACTGATTACATGCATTTCTACATTTTACAAAAATGTTTACTAGTTACACTAAGTACTTACATCACAGTGTGAGGTTTTTGGTGGTGGTTTGGCCACAAAACACGCAAGGTAACAGTCACCTAGTTCAGATTAACCAGTTTTGTCTAACCCTCGGAATCCTCACCATCACCCTGCGTCTAATGGCAAAAGGCTGCTGTCGTCATGGCTTCCGGTAAGGTCAGCCAAAGGGTCATAGGGCAAGGGTCACACAATGTATGGAAAAGCCAAGGCCAATCAGGAAAGGCAGTCATCTTAGCCTCAGTGGACACAGCCTCAGCCCCATTGGTCACTTTCAAATTGAAACATCAAGGACTTGTTAAAAAGTTTGAATTCAACATGCAACAATTTCAACATCAAACATAACCAAAATCCCCCCACCTCCTCCCACAACATGCCCCAACTAAATACCGCATAAAGCGTTATAGCGTTATTTATATTGACTCTGTGGTACCATACCATACCACGTTAGTTCAAAATAATATTTTCTTTGGCCCCCGCCAATATTAATAACTTTAAGACTTAAACTCAAAACTCCTCCCGTTTCCCTCTACCCACCCCACCTCCAACCCAGCCAACCGCCAAACTTCTACGCTGACTTTCACGTTTCTAGCTAATGCACTGACAGGTAAGCGGGGGGGATACAACTACAGCCACCCCTCACTTCCTCCGCGGGCAGAGCTCACGACAGTGCTGACGGGGGCCCAACACAAGCCACCCCCAACCCCATCCCAAACTAGCATAAAAAAAAATCCCCAAACCCTTGCTAAGCAAAACCCACAACCCAATCCCCGCGCTCCGGCGTCCCGTGGCTGCCCCGGGCAGGCGTGAAGGCAGCAGGGCCCGGAGACAAGAGTAGTCAATCGACCCCGGCCACCGCGCCTGCCCGGGCTGGGAGGCCCCTCCCCGCCCGCCCCGCAGGGTCCCAAGGACGCGGAGCGCGCGGGGTTGTGACTCACTGCGGCTTCCGTAGCTGTAGCCGTCACGATCGCGGCGCGGACCGCGGGCGTGCTCCACGATCACGCGCTCGCCGCAAAGCTCCTTGCCGTTCAACTCGTAAACGGCGTCGTCGGCGTCGCGGGAGTCCTCGAACTCCACGAAGCCGTACCTGGGGGCGGTGCGAAGGCCGGCGGACGTCGTTAGGGGGACGCGCACGTGCGCGCGGCCGCCGGCCCTGCACGCTCCCGCGGACCCGCGCCGCCGCCATCTTGGAGGCCCTGCCACGCGGCGCCGTGGCCTTGGCCGGTTGTTTTTTGGGGGACCCTGCCGCCGCCAGGCACGAAGCGCAGCATGAAGAAGCGGTGCTCAGGCCCGACTCACCCATTTTTGAGGTCTATTTCGAGGAGGCGACCATAGCCACTGAAAAAGCGCTGGATGTCCTTCTCCCGGACGTTGTAGCTAAGGCGTCCTATGTAGACGCGCGGCATGTTCGTGGCGGGCGGAGGGCCCGAAGGCTGGCTGTCGAACGGCGGACCGCAAGACAGAAGCCGCGGTGCGTGTGCAGGGAAAGCGACAACCGCCAAACTTCTACGCTGACTTTCACGTTTCTAGCTAATGCACTGACAGGTAAGCGGGGGGGATACAACTACAGCCACCCCTCACTTCCTCCGCGGGCAGAGCTCACGACAGTGCTGACGGGGGCCCAACACAAGCCACCCCCAACCCCATCCCAAACTAGCATAAAAAAAAATCCCCAAACCCTTGCTAAGCAAAACCCACAACCCAATCCCCGCGCTCCGGCGTCCCGTGGCTGCCCCGGGCAGGCGTGAAGGCAGCAGGGCCCGGAGACAAGAGTAGTCAATCGACCCCGGCCACCGCGCCTGCCCGGGCTGGGAGGCCCCTCCCCGCCCGCCCCGCAGGGTCCCAAGGACGCGGAGCGCGCGGGGTTGTGACTCACTGCGGCTTCCGTAGCTGTAGCCGTCACGATCGCGGCGCGGACCGCGGGCGTGCTCCACGATCACGCGCTCGCCGCAAAGCTCCTTGCCGTTCAACTCGTAAACGGCGTCGTCGGCGTCGCGGGAGTCCTCGAACTCCACGAAGCCGTACCTGGGGGCGGTGCGAAGGCCGGCGGACGTCGTTAGGGGGACGCGCACGTGCGCGCGGCCGCCGGCCCTGCACGCTCCCGCGGACCCGCGCCGCCGCCATCTTGGAGGCCCTGCCACGCGGCGCCGTGGCCTTGGCCGGTTGTTTTTTGGGGGACCCTGCCGCCGCCAGGCACGAAGCGCAGCATGAAGAAGCGGTGCTCAGGCCCGACTCACCCATTTTTGAGGTCTATTTCGAGGAGGCGACCATAGCCACTGAAAAAGCGCTGGATGTCCTTCTCCCGGACGTTGTAGCTAAGGCGTCCTATGTAGACGCGCGGCATGTTCGTGGCGGGCGGAGGGCCCGAAGGCTGGCTGTCGAACGGCGGACCGCAAGACAGAAGCCGCGGTGCGTGTGCAGGGAAAGCGTGAGCCCGAACACACACCTAACACCACAGCGGCGGCCGAATCCAGCCACACAATGGTGCGGGCGCGCGCCAGAGCAACGCCTTAAGGGCGGGCGTCCGCGGGGCGGGGCCAGGCGCGTGACGTCAGCGCGCAGCACGTCTCCCGCTCAGGAGCTTTGGGTAGAAGTGTGACTTGCATGTCCGCCACCCGCTAGGTTTCTGGGAAGCGCCGTTCCGCTTGCTCACGAAATCTTCTGCACCTAACTCTGTAGACGTAGAATTCCGTTGACCAGCTGCGGACTTGTCTTCTAATTTATACTTTATAAAAAACTTTTCTGCATGGTCTTTTGGGAGGCGGGCTTGGAGAATTTCCGTTTTTTATTGGTTCTCGAGGTTGTCTTAAAATGTGTCCCTGGTCTCTGATTGGTCCACTAAAACGAGGGTGCAATTTCCTCCATCCAGAGGTTCAGACTCTTTTCTTTGTGAATAGCGCGCTCTCGATATAGTTGGTTGTCCCATTTCACGTAATCCGGGTTTTGCGCGCTGAGGTTGTGGTAGCGCGGCCGGGATTACGTTGCTAGCGCACAGCCCTGCTCGTTTCTTTTACCTTCATGGTCTCAGCCTTCACCGCCACCCTTCACGTCCCCTCTCCCTCCAGGGGTTTTTCTTGGAGCTGGCAGCCGGAGTCACCTGTAGATCGGTGGGTACATGGCAATCCGACGCTCGCTGTATGTGCTTGCACACGAAGCACGGCCAAAAACTCAGGCCCAAGAAAGTTGGCCAAGACCTGGCAGCCCTCCTACAGGGGGGCGCTCTTTTTCTCCCCCACATGGGTAGTCCATTGTCCCAACGCCATGCCTTCCTCCCATTCATTTGTAAGGCACCCTTTCTGTGTGGCAAAAAAAAAACATTTTTGAGTTTATCACTAAGATGTCGTTTAAAGCTGGAGAACTTGATGAAAATCACAAAGGAGTAAGTTTAGGTAGAGAGCAGAAGACGCTGGGGTTCTCTGAGACTTAAGTGCGCAGGAGGAGACTGGGAAGGAGTGGCTGAAGAAGTGGAGAAAAGGGTATTGCTGAGGTAATCCTGGCTCTTTAGGATTTCCGCACATTCCAGCTCTTCCTCCGCGGTGCAGCCTTGATAGCCTTCAATTTCTGGTTGAAAGGAGACGATTTTGCCGCCCAGTGGACATTCGACAAAGTCTGGAGGCCTATTGGTTGGCACGGCTCGGGGTGGGGAAGTGCTAATATTGGCATCTAGTGGTAGAGGTAATACTGTCTGTGCCCGAGTTTAGGTACGATAAATTGCTAGATCTTTTTAAAAATTTCATGGAATATAGTAATTAGGTGTAAGTCCGGGGAGAGGAAGTCCTGGGGCAAAATACCTCTAAAAACCGAAATCAGTCAAAGGAAGAAATAAAGTTTAAAACCCATTTATTGCTACAGACTGCAGTCCAGGGCTGTCTTTCTCCTCTGCTCTGGAAGAAGCCCTCCCCTTAACCTCTCAGGTTCAGACATACCCTTGGTTGCCCAGGTAAATTACCTATTGATATGTAGATGTACTAAAGCCAGGCTAGATATTCTGGAAATATTACAATTTTACCCACATTAGAAAAAGGAGAATTCAACAATGTGATAAGACTTTTTCACTTACCAAATTGTCAGTATATTAAAATTTGTTCAGATTTATTATTGGCAGGAGGTAAACCAGGACATGGCACTCATATAGTGGGGGTTGGTTTGAATATTCCTTTTGGGAAGGTAATGGGGTAGTACTTACTAAAAGATGACTATGGGGAGTGGGTGTTGCCTCCTTTCTCCTTAGAGTTCATTTACCTAAAGACAAAGATGCAGCTGACATCATCCTTCACCTCGTCTCTCTTTTCCCAGAACCCACTGGCTGCTCTTAAAGAAAAACCCAAATAGCAGCTACTGCAGAAGAGGAAACAGTCTCATGTCATGATATGAAGGGAGGGTTGGACCATCAGCATTCTGTGGAGTCTTGCTGATGTATGGAAAAGCCAACGCCCATCTATTGATATTTTGGAAGAGCAACTCAAAGGAGAAATGATGTATGTATAGTATGGGAGCTCATTTCTTTAGACACCTACAATTGTGGCGAATAAAGATCACTCCACTGCTAATTCTAAATTGTGGAGGTAACTGCAGGGGTCTGTCAGCATGAGAGGGAGGGTTTCCTCAATCTGATCCAGAAGAAAGTTAATAACTTCAAATCCATAACTACCTAGATTATTACGACTGGTCTAGAATGCACAATTGTAGTTTTTTTCAATCCAATGGATATTCTTACATATGTTAGCTTGAAACCAAAAGAATTTCCCAAGCATGTGATTGGAAGGAGGTGTAAACTGGATTCTGATAGGTTTTGCTGTCTTATATCTGAAAACTTTAGCATTCCAGAAACTCATCTTGAATGGATTTTGGGAGAAAATGGCAACTCAAGTATGTTTACATGGAGTGGAGTGAATGCAGCAGGGGTCACTCCAGAAATGGAATTCAGAAATGGAAATTGTCAGGGCTGACAGTTTGAAAGAAATGTGAACCATATGATTGAAAGAGCATTTGAGGTGATCAAACTAAAAGTGTCTTCCAACTGGGCTACTGAATCAAATGTTGCTAAGCCAATTCAAACCCTTTTTGAAAGACGTCTGCTCAGGATTGATCTTCACAGGATTTCCCAATCTCAGCAATGCTGACATTTAGGGCCAGATAATTCTCTGTTGTGGGGGCATCCTGTGCATGTAGGATGTTTAGCAATGTCCCTGGCTGGCATCTACCTACTCGTTTTCAGTAGCTCTTCCCCTCTCCTAGTGTGACAACCAAAATGTCTTCAGATGTTGAGAAATGTCTGCCAAGGCACATAATTGCCCCTTGATGTGTTGTTTCTGACAGTGAGGGCTTTCTTTGTGTTCTAAGTGTTCAAAGATTAACCAGAGTCTTCAACCAGAGTAGAAGGATAATGTAGTTTTACCACTCAAAAGAGTGGGGATAGATGAAACAACTTAAGAAAACAGCTGGTACTGTCTGAACAATATGATGAGTAAATGTGGTTATGGAGCCACCAGAATTCTCATACATCATCAGTGAGAGTGTAAATAGGTGCAGTCACTTTGGAAAAAGGTATGGTAGTGTCTCCAAGAGCTATCTACTGGAGATGAAAGCTAGTATCTGCTCCTATGACCTCGCAATTCCATAAGGACGTGCGTACATATGCTCCCCGTAAGGAATGTTCTGGAAATTCATAGTGTTATGTGTAGTGGCCCTCAAACTGGGAACCACTTAGATGCATATCAACGAGAGAGTGGACAATTTAATTGTGGTTTATTCATACTGCACATTACTATACAGCAATGAAAATGATCTACAATAATACACAGCAAAATCAATGGATCTCACAATGTTGTAACCATCTAAGCAAGACAGAGAAATCCATACTGTATGATTACCTGTGTGTAAAACTGACAAACAACTAATCTATGGTGTTAGAAGTCACTTTTGGGAGGGGTGGTGACCAGAAGGGGGCTTCTGGGGTTCTGGTCATGTTTTGTGTCTTGAGCTTAGTGCTGGTTATGCATGTGTGCTGTGTGAGAATTCACTGAACTGTACATTTATGATTTAGGCATTTGCTGTATATATGTTGTATTTCAATGGGAAATTTAAAAAAAAATTCTCAAAAAAAGTATAACCTACTTGACCTAGATAGAGTCCTCTGGGTCACGCTGGGGACTAAAGCTGTACTGAGACTTGATTAATAGTCTTTGCTCATAAATGTCAGTTTGTTTGAATCAGTTGTTTGTGTTTTGTTTGTTTTATTTTGTTCTTCAATTAGGTTTCTGTAGTCTTTTAAGAATTGCTCTGTGGGTGGGAAGATGGCTCTGTCGCCACCTGGTGGCTATTAGTGTGATTACAGTGGTAGGTAGATAACACCAGCTGCCTCATCCAGACTTGGGTGAATTTACAGATACAAAGTCTTTGCAGGTCCCTGAATCCAAATCTTCTAATTGTCAAGCTCTTATTCACCCGGAGATTTTCTGGTCCTTAACTGAACACCTCCTCTGATGGAGAGTTCACCGTCCAACCTGACAGCCAAGTCCATTCTTGGACATCTCTCACTATGAATAAATTCTTTATAGAATGTAAAGAATTGTTGCTTTGAATTATACTTGTGCTGGTTGTGCCCGAGGCTGTTCAAGTAAACACATGTTTCCCACCCACAGGTCTTTCAGAAGTTTGAAGGCAGCACTCAGACCCTCTGTTCATGTCCTCTCTTCTGGCTTAGTGTCTGTGGTCCCTCAAACATCCCTTACCTTCTGGGGCCTGCTTTCAAGTCTGTCTGTCACCCTGGCTGCTGGTCACTCATGCATTCAGGCTTATTTGGGGCCCTCTTCAGGTGTGGCCCTCAGAACTGACCTCTCCCCACTGGACTTGTCTGCATACACCCATTGATGCTGCGGCCATATTGTTCCCTGACCGGTTAAGATGTGTGACCGTTGGTGACATAGGTGGCCGGCTGGTGTCTGCTTCCTCACTCAGCCCTACTTCTGCTGCATGACCAGACTGGGATCAAGAAGCTCCTGGGATAGACCACTGAGGCAAACAATGTCTTGAGAATGGAAGCAGGCTAGGCACCAGAATGGAAATCCAGGGCTTATTGGCAGGTGGGCTCAAAATCACTGGTCCAGTTCCTGGAGCAGCCAGGAGGCAGAAGTGCTGATAAGGAATACGCTAGTTGGCCATGTGGTGGAGAGCATGAGGCCATGGGGAAAATCCGCAGACAAATACTATAGAACCCATAGCACTCGTCAGCGTGTACTGTCGTCTCCAAGCCCGTCAGTCATGTGAGAGGCAATCCTGGGGCCTCCTCCCAGGTATTCCCTGAAGCTGGTGTGCGTAGGTTTCTGTTCTTGCACTTGGCACCAAGTTGTGCTTACCTACATTCTACCCATCATTAGTTCCACATGTTGTTATTTGGACTTATTTAAGCTGAAGCATATTCCCAAAGCCTGCATGTCACTACAGCCCTTATTCTGGCAGTAAAAGCTCTGTCAAATGATGGCACTCTAATGTCATATGGCAGAGAAGCTGAGCACAACTGCAGTGTGCTGGAGAGCAGCCAGGGGTGTTCCCTCCGTGCAGAACCCATCTCCTTGATGAGTGAGGGGAAAGAAGTCTTTTTTTTTTTTAGGTGCCTTGCATAGCCCAGGCACTGCTAAGCTCAGGGGACATAACTAGAACAAGACAGATCTAGTCAGGTCCTCCAAAAATTGTAGTCCCAGTACAGTGGTCCTTGGACATTTGTGAGCATCATTTAAACGTGAAGCTATGGTGGCTGCATCTTGCAGAGTTGGAGTCCCTGGCCGTGGGGCAGGGCCTGGGAATCTGCCTGGTCAGCATCCTCCTGTGCGACTATGAAGGACGGGGTCAGGTGACCAGGCTTTGCAAAATACCTGCCTGGGGCCTCACTTCCCAAAATGTGGTCTACAGACTCCTCCACCCCTTGTCAGCATTTCTTGGGAGCATTTTAGACATGGCAGAATCTCAGGCTCCACCGCAGACCTACTGATTATAATGGACATTTTAAAACACGAATCCAGGGATGATTCATGTGCTCCTTGAAGTCTGAGAAGCAGTGCTGTTGCAAGGTGCCAGGAAGTCTTGCTGCTTACCTTCTATATTTTGAGAAGAGAAAGAATATATTTGTGTATGGCTTGGTAATTTAAAATATATTAATGAAAAACTGCATTAGCCAACCCCCCAAAAAAACTGGTACGTGAATGCTCAAAGCAGCTCTGTCCATAATTGCCCCAAACTGGAAACATCTGGAATTAGCTAGCAACAGGCCAAAGGATAAACAAAAGGTATACTCACCAAACGGAATACTGCGTAGCAATAAAAAGGTCCGACTCGCAGTGTGGATGAATCTCAGAATGTTTTTACTAAGTGGGAGGAGCCCAACCCGGAAAGCTACCGGCTGTGTGAGTCTGTGTATGTGATGTTCTAGAAAAGGCAGATCTAAAGGGCCAGAAAATGGATTAGTAGTTGCAGGTGCTGGTGTTACAGGTGACAGTGGACTGCAAAGCAACAGGAAGTAAGTTTTGGGAGTGAGGGAAACGTTCCATATCATGATTGCGGCATTTACCAAAACTCACTGAACTGGATACTTAAAATGGGTGAATTTTACTGTATGTAAATTATACATCAATAAAAATGATTAAAAAAACCCAACAAAACCAAGACCATCCAGTACTTGGGGTCTTTTTTTTTTAATAGGTACAGATTATAAAATAATAAATTCTACAGCATTGTACACACATTCCTGTGTACCAGGAATATTCTGTTATCCAGAGGTAGCCAGTAGGTTTTGTGTTTTTATTTGGTAATTATCTCTGTGTGTTGAAATGCTATGCTTCCATTGCCGTTTCTGTGTTTATCAACTTCAAACATTCTTTTCTCCCCTCTGGAATGTCTTTAATTAATTAATCAATTTTTATTGAAGTTCAGTGTTAAGTAACTGTAATGGTACATCATTTTACAGATGAGGAATGAGGCTCAGAGGCATGAGATGACCTGTCACACTGCTGAAAGGTGTACAGCTGGATAATTCCAAAGCCTTCTATCCTTCCTTCAAGATGCCCCTGCACCGCTCTGTACTACATCTAAAATGTTGGTGGCCAAAGTTTTGAAATATTGACATTCACAGTTGAAATGGCCCACAAGCCATTACTGAGCTGATGACAATGGTAAGCAACTGGAGCTTAATTCTCCTGGGGACTCTGGGAGCCAGTGCAGAGCTCTGGGGACCTCAGAAGCAGTGGAGAGAATGGTCTTTCCCCTCGCCGAGGAGGGGTAAGGGAGCTGGGTTATCTGAACATCAGCTGGCTAGCTGTGTCGGTTGGGGATGGCTTCCAGGAGCATTCACTCTGGCACTTAGGGTTTGCCTGAGTGGCTGAGTGTCTCCCACACCAGAAACTAAGCCCTGGGGCAAGAGCGCTTCAGGGGTTCCCAGCAAGCCCACTTCGGCTGTGGAAGTGAGTGTTGAGACAGCAGTGCAGCAAGCATCTGCCACAGGCATGTCAACCCGCCTTAGCTTACAATTCTGTTTTTATGACATCTTCACCTGATCAGAATGTGTTGGTGGATGGCTTCCTGTGCACTGACCCGGGCCACACTCCAGCTGGCACCCCCTGGCATCTTCCCCTCCTTCACCACCACCTCCGTGACATGCCAACCCAAGGGGTTGTGGCTCTGCCCTTCTGGCATATAATAAAACCAATGGAAAGTAATGACCCCTCTTCAGACTGCAGATGAGCACATGAATGCCTGATTACCACATGAAATATCTTTTGATACTGGACAAAAACACCCAATAAGGGCTGGGGACCAGCCTGGCAGATGTCTGGTGGCCCAGTGGCCCTCTCCCCAGGGGGCTTATGGGCTGTTTCAACTGTGAATGTCAATGTTTCAAAACTTTGGCCACCAACATTTTAGGTGTGGCATAGAGCAGTGCAGGGGTATCCTGAAGGCAAGGGTGGAGGGCTTTGCTATTATCCAACTGACCATCTTTTCACAGTCATCTCATACCTCTGAGCCTCATTCCTCATCTGTAAAATATATATAATAACAGGATGAATCTCATAGTGTTCAGTCATCTCATGCCTCTGAGCCTCATCTCTCATCCGTAAAATATATATAATAATAGGATGAACCTTATAGTGTTAAGTAACTAAGATGGTACATCTTCAGTGCCTGATGTTGTATAGACCAGGGATTGACAAACTTGTTCTGTAAAGGGCCAGGTTGTTAATACTTTGGCTTTGTGGACTGGATGGCCCCTGTGAACCAACTCAAATCTGCCTCTGTAGCATTTGAGGCCCCATGGCTAAATGTAAATACCATAAAAACAGGTGCTCACATCTGGGGAAGATTTTATTTCTTTCTCTTAGAGGCAAAAAATGTTTTGTGCTCACCTTTGTGTCCTCTTTTGGCTCAGCATAGCACCTGGAATGTAGTAGGTGCTCAAGAAATGTTTACCGAGGGAAGGAAAAAAACAATAAATGATGCCGAGAAGAGAATGGTCTTTGGAGTCAAAAAGACCTGAGTCCAAATCGACTTACCCTATGTGACCTGTGTTAAACAAATTTATTCACAACACTGGTTAAAAAACAGTAGGGCAGACAATTCAAGGGGACTGTTGAAGTAGGTATAGGGACTGCTGTGTCTCGCTTGAGGGTTTCAGCCCTGGGCAAGTTCACTATGGATCCAGTGAGACTGAAAAATGACAACGGAACTGTGAGGAAAATAGAACTTTCTGACCAGAATTCCAACCTGGTCTTAATAATGCCCATTGTGTATATAATTGTCTTGCCAGTGGGTTTCAGTCCCAAGCAAGTTCACTGTAGATTCAATGAATCTGAAAAAATGACAATGGAACTTTCTTGGGGTGAAGGGTTTATACCCAACTTTATTCCCACAGTGACAGGTCAATCACTAGAATCCCATCCACACAGAGTGAGTCTGCACACAGCAAGCTGGTCTCTGCCTCTGGGCCTCTCTGCCCCGGCAGCCGTCTCAGTCTCTGTCCTCAGCACTGCCACCACCACTCCAGTCCTGCAGCTGTGCAGCAGCCCAAAGCACTAGGAGAAGCTCTTTATATAGATTCAGTAACAACATATTGCCTGCATGTGTGCAGTGAGCAAGCCGACCAGGGCCAGGTGAGAGTCCTGGCCATAGGAAACTCCACTTTCTCCACACTCCACCGTCCAGCATTCTCACTTCTCAATCTATGTGCCC